GACCCCACCGCCGGGGGGTCCAGGAAGACCCCCGAGATGGAGCCCGTGGGGGAGGCCGATCGATCGCTCGGGATCGCATTCGAATCGTACATGTCCAAACCGAAACCGATCGGCGTGGGATTTTTGATATGAAATGGTTCCTTTTATCTTTGAGAGAGAGGAGGGTAGGATGGTGCTGTTTTTCGATATATATACATCTATAGGTATACATACAGTTGAATAATACAAACTTGACTCAATATCGCATCAAGGACAATGCACACCCAGAGATTGTATACTATTCAAAAGAATAAGTAATGGGTGCAGACCGCTAAACTAATTTCGGCATTAGACCTTAAATTGTACTTCGGTTTGTTTTCTCTTCCCGCCACCGTTGCCAATACTCCAAAGAAAGAATCGAAAAAATAGCAAAAAATGTCGCATACGTAAATAAATGTATCTTCGAAGGTAAGCAACGTGGAGAGAATTCACTGGGCACTATTCCTCCTCTAAAGTGATTTTTATCGAATGATAAGCAAAAATCACTGGATTTTATTCAGAAATGTTATATGAATGTACTTACACGAAAATTCATATATTGATATTTCTGCGTAAGCAGTTGTATTTTAACATCAGGATATTGGTGCACCCCATGAGGTTAATTTGTCTACTTCCAAATCAACGTTCGAGGATGATCATACGTGGGGCCATCTGTAAATCATTCCCTGGGCTCCCTATGTTCAAAGACTCCTCGCACAGGTGTTCCTTCTCCCTAAATGACGGATGATTTGAATGCATTAGCTTTGGACCCTGGGTGTTGAGCAAGTGGTGGTTATAGGAGTTCACAATCTTGGTAAGCGTATGCCATATATCCTCAGCCTGCCCCGCCAATCGCACCTCTTGCTCCTGGAGCACCGCCTCTTCCTCCTTCGCGTCCGAGAGCCCGAAGAATCGCACGTGGCCTTCGCCATTCCCCGGCGCGCTCGTATCGGCGGCCTCGATCGACACCGCCCCCCCTTCCCGCCTACACGCACAGCGCTCCCGCGCCCTTTGGAGAAGTCGCTGCAGCTGCAGACGCCGCTGAACGGTGAGGTAAAATCGGGAGCAGTTGTGGTGGCTATTATAAGGATTCACGTAGTGCCCGACGGCAGATCGGGCGACCTCGATAGGGCGGGTGGCGAGATCGAGCGTCGAGGAGGAGGTCCCTAAGGGGGAAGGGGTCGTCGGCGATGCCATCGCCAAGCTCTCGTCGTGGTAGGGCAGCGTGAAGAACGGGAGCTCGAGCACCCGGGCGTTCCCGTGCACCCAAGAAGGGCGTTTAGGGAAGTGCCGGTGGATGGGGATGCCGCCCGGGATGGAATCGCGCCACCGCGGCTCCTCCTTTCCCCCACCCCGTCGATTCCCCGAGGCGTCGCTGCCCTCCCCCCCGTCGACGTGGAGAAACATACAGCTGAAGCTCCCGCTTTGGCTCGTCGCCGCCAGCGAGGAGGCGGTGCGGAGGAACGGCGAGCCGGGCTCTCGCGGAAATCCGGAACGGGCGTCCTCCGGTCGGTCCTTTCCCCCGTCGTGGATTTCCTTGCCACCATTTGGGTGGGTGGCGGCAGGGGGGGACGAACCCGGCTCCGGCGTCACCGAGGTGCTCACGAAGGGCTCCAGGAGCAGCGACTCTTGAGAGAGATGAAAAGGCCCGCTGTCGTCGGAGTCGTGGAGGGCCTCGCCATCACGCCCGTGTTTGTTCTTCTGCTTGCGTGACGGGGAACCCTTCGTACGCGTCAAAAACGCCGACATCTGCTTGAAAATCGACTGATGTCGATGGCGGGAGTCCTCTTCAGGGCTGATGACGGGCTGCGCGGTGACCTCCGGCCTGCCTGCGCGGTGAAAGTAAATCCGAAACACGCGATCCGACGCGAACTTCAGCCCGCTCCACGACGCCGCCGGCGAGGGCGAGAACGCCAAATTCTCCGCGATCGCGCAGAGCAGCAGCCACAGCGTATCGAGCGCCTGCTCGGGGCTGACGTAGAAGAGAGGGCAGTTGGCGCCAAACCCGTGGTTGTTCTCCGTCGCGAAGCCGCAGTCGGTGGTCTGGAAGAGATCCCCATTCCGGGAGAACCCGCTCGGGAGAGGGGGGGATGGTATCGCGCCGTCCAGGCTATTCCCCCCCCCATAAGTCCCTTTGCGCGATCGGGAAGGAGAGGGGGAGCGGTGATCCGGGGCGTTCTTCGAGTCCCCGTCCGAATGACCCCCGGAGGCGGCCTCGCGGCGGCTCCGTTCGATCGCCGCGGCCGCGGCCGCGGCTTCATTGCCGAAGAGATTCGTCGCGTCGAACTCGAGGCACCAGAGGGAGGCCGAGGCGGATGGGTAGTAGAGGAGCCCGGCGAGCATCCCGAGCTTCGGGAAATCCTTCGGCGTCAACGGGGTGACGACCTGGACGTGCCGGATCACGTTCTCGGCCGAGGTGAGCACGGCGACGAGCCGCGGCAGCCAGTCCGCGTTGTTCAAACACAAACACCACCCCGGCAGCTCGTCGGGCTCGAAGATCGCCGTTTCAAGATAAAGCAGGGCCGGATCCAAATCCTCCCCCGTCGTGCGCGGGAGAATGGCGCGTTGGAGTACGCTGAGATCGGCGAGCAGCGCGCTGTGCGCTGCCTCGGCGGCCCTGACGGAGCTCAGAAGATCGGCGAGGTCGTTTTTCTGCGCCTTCAGCTCCAATGTGGCCATATTCCACCGCTCCTCCAGATCGAGCTCGCCTAAAACGCCCAAAGGGCCATCAAGGGTGCCGCAGCGGGTGATCAACGTCTGCAGCGTGCTCGAGGAGCCGCTCAGGCTGGATCGCGCGCCCAGAGTGCCCATGGGGCTCAGCCGCCATCGATTCGTGCTGTTGATGGTCGCTTCGGAAGGATAGCGACCGAGCCGACGGCGCGACCTCCCCTTTATTCCCCCCCCGCCCTTCGTCGCCATCGCCGCCCCTCGCTTCGGGATCGCTCGCCGGACGGGGGAAATCCGACCACGGGGGTTGCCCTTTTCTTTAGTCTTTTGGCGTTTCCTCTTGGCTTTGGAAGGGGGCTGGCGAGGGGCCACCGTCGCGCCCCCAGGGGGGGATTTCGCGTTGCGGGATTTTTTGTCCACGCGGGGGTCGCGGCCGCGGTTCTTTCCGGCCCTAGCCCTACTCCGGGAGGCATTCGGGGATGGGGTGGCGGTCAGGAGGGGGCTGGCCTTCCGGGACCCCCCCCCCTCTCTTTCCACCCGTACCGACACCATCGATTCATTCAGACTTAACCCCTTCATGGTGTCCGCCAAGGGGGTATTGCAGAGGCTCGACTTAAAAAATTCCGACCGTAGCGTGTGATGATTGCTGTAACCCGCCGTGATGGAGGTTGGCCGGGAGTACGCATCCACGGTGCTCGCATCCGTTCCCTCCGCCTTGTCGGAGAGAGGGGTGCGGCTGTCCTCGGAGACGGACGACGTGCTGCTCCCCGCGCTTATTCCATCGTGCATTTTGAGATCAATGGGAAGAATCTTCTGCAACAATGCCGGCGCGATACCGGAAAACTTCTGCAGGAATAACGACAGCGGGTGGGCGTATTCCGGGTTGCAGAGGAGATGCATGCCCCACGTTTGGATGACGGCGGATATCGTCTCCATACCCATCCACGCCGAGGCAATCAACGAGTAGGCGTCGGAGCGCTTGTGGGGGTCCGGGCGCGGATCGGCGGCGGCAGCACCGTCGACGCTCGCCTCAGCCGCAAGGCCTCCCCCCCCTCCTCCTCCCCCCCCTTTCGCTAGGGTGGGGGTGGATATCGTGTGTTCAAGCACCTCGCCACCACCGAAGAAGACGGAGATCTGCTTGATCTCAACGGAGTCGCGCATCGGGATCCCTCCGATACGCCGTGTAATGCGGTATCGAAAATGTGCCGTGGTATGGCGTTTATTTTCAAGACCCCTGGCATCTTTTTCAGCGGCCACGTCTTTGTTTCGATGTGGGATGTGACCGTATCCTTTGGATATGGTATGCCGCGCCGTGAAGAGGTTCCTCACATTGTTGAGGATTCCCTCGGCGGTACGAGCTTTGCTCCAATCCATGTCTTGCAGTACGCGCTTTAGTTCGTCAGCTGCCTCCGGTGGGCAGCACTCAATAAACAACATGCCACCGTACATAATGTCGGTGATGATCCCCTCACCATATTCACTCCGCGCAGAGTGCTGGTTGATGCTAAAGTCGATCGGATAGCGAGTATAATGTCGCTCTTTCCACTCAAAGGGGTCGATAAAGACCTGAAAGCTTGCAACCACGACCGAGATGAAGCGTTTTTGTGATGAGGTGGGTCCCTCGTCAAAAGCCTTTTTATCAACGTCATCACTAGTGTTGTTGGCCAAGGTATTCGCCTTTTTAGTCTTCTCCGTAGGGGCCTGGGGGAGTGGCCCTGGGAGCACCGGGAAGACCTCCCCAATATCGCCCTGCCTCTTTTTGTTCTCATTCCCTGTCGGGGGGGCGGCGGCGCATGAGGGGATGAGATGCTTTATATTATGATAGCTCTCTTCAAGGGTTTCAATCATGAGCGACAAGATGAATTCTTCCGGGAACCGCTTGGGCGCTTCGTTCACGCCGCCTTGGTAGGCTTTGGTGATGGTGGGGTGCCTACTCGACGCTCGCAGGGTCCTGCTGCTTTCGTAGAACACCTTGTGCTCGTGAGATCCCGGCGTCGTAAAGCTACCATTGATCTTCTCCGTGATGAAGTGTTTCCCGAGAGATGTCGGGTCGATGGATCGTTTACGGCCCTGGTTGTCATGCCTGCCGCCCGGTTGCAATTCATTAAGCGATCGATCGGATATCAATGAAATCCAGTCCTCGTCTTGAATGAGCGCGACGGCGTGAGCCAGCGTGTTGAGATTCGGGATCACCACCTCCACGCGATTCCACCGCGCCACCTGCACCCCGTAGGCGGGTTTGAGGTTGCGCTTTCGAAGGAATAACGTACTCTTATCGGTCTCATCGACCATTTCGCTCAGCCGAAATGCAGAGGTGTTCTTGATGCCTCTGTAGTACGGCATAAAACCAGTGATGAGATGGAAGAATTTCTCACGGATATCGTTGGGCAGTTTGGCAACCTCGCTAGGGGTGTGGAAAAACAGCACCAGATCGATATCGGTTAGCGTGTTGGTTGCTAACAGATGCGCCACGCAATTCTTCAGTTCATTGAACACGCGAACCTTCGAATCCGTCTCCAGCACGTGGGTATCCAGGTTCAGCATGTCGACGCGATTAAGGAGTCTCAGGGAATGGGTGCCGAAGGTCCCGCTTGAGGGGGCGGCCGCACGAAGAAACGCCGACGTCGGGCACTCCGTGCTGATGCCGCACGTGGAAAACCAATGGGAGCGCCGAGACAGGTTTGTTTTGGGCATCGCATTTTTTCCCCGTTTGTGACGACTCTTCCGCCCCCGACTCAGGGTGGCGGAGTTGCCAGGCCGGCGGGATGGGGTGGCGGCCGTGGTGCCCTTCGCGGCCTCGAGGAGGGAATGGACGAAGTGGATGGGAAACCGCTCCGCCGCGCGGCGATCCCAACACCGCCCCAAAATCGCCCGGTGGGAGACGTTAAAGCTATCCAGCGGCCGGATCGGGTCGATAATTTCCATCTGCAGCCGCGCCGCCTTGGCGAGCTTCGCCTCTTCTTTTGCCTGGATGCGCGTTTGATACTCCTGGGCGGCCTGCGCGGCGTCCGTTTTGAGCGGCACCCACTTCTCCATCGGCTCAGGGGGAGGGGAGGAAGGGAAATCCACGCCGTCGCCGTCGGGGAAGGGCAAGGACGGCCCCACGGCTTTGCCGCTCTTCTTGGAGGAGAGGATGGAGAGGGGGGTGGTGAGGGGGGAGGACGAGGTGAGCCGCACAGACGGGCTCGCCGGGGTCCTAAAAGGGTCTCGTCGGGAGCTGCGTGGGGAGGCCGTGGCGGGGGGGACGTTGGGGTCCGCCCGCCCGTGACACCCCCCGTGCGCAGTGCGCAACGAGGACATCTTGCAGCCCATTTCGAATGATATACATCAGTATAGGGAAATGTGGGTATTACTAACTAAAAGCCTTTATGTGCTTCTCTTGAGTTAGAGGATTGCGTATTAAAGGATGCATTGGTTTTCAGATTTTCAGATGGGGGGTTCAAAAATAAATAAATACTGATAAGGAAACACACACAAGACCGTTGTTGAGAGGTCGGTCGATTAATACCGTGTTTTTGTTAACGTATGCATCTTAAGAGGGTAATTACAGGCGCCCTTATAGAAGTGTCTGAGCACCTCATATAAGGAGTGTAGCAAAGAACGGAATATGTAGTGTCGCAACTAACGTAAAAACAAGTAAGAGTGCCTATTGAAGTGTAACCCTCTTCGTTTCTGTATGTTTTTTATTTTATTTGGCCTTGGATGGAAACAATTTGCCCAAAGCTCAAATGATGGACTTCCAATATTGCTTTTTTATTACTTTTTCACAGATACCCTTATACATTTGTATCAAAATGTGAGAAAAGAAATAGGTGCATGATGATGGAAGCTACAACATTCACACCTTTTTTTGACAAAAAAATATATAGTCAATGAGTGTCTAGCAACAACCCATGCAATATTTAATACACGACGCCAAGGGATAGGCTTAATGAAGAACTAAGTGTTATAAAACAGCACTCCGTTGTTCTGCATAACGCCTACACCAAAATGGTCCATTAGTTATTGCTTCACTCACTTTTAACAGAATACACTCGTCTCATAGACGCCTACAATTAATCTAGAAAACAACTCCACTACAAAGCTGATTACAGATGGATGTGCGCCCATAGCTTCCATTTTGGAGCCATGCAAAGGGGAGTGAGCTCGCTGAGTGAACTGGACACACTGCCATTCTGACGTTTCCTTTTCGCCTCTTTCTTTTACCCTTTCTCCACCAATTACCGCTGCTCTTAAACTCTCTTTGCATTGATAGGTGTTCATGGGAAGGGGAGAGAAAAAGAGAGGCATCCTATGCATCGATGAACGCAGTGGCTAGGGTTTCTTAGTTGTCGTTAGTTGCGATAGCAATGATGGATTTCGGCAACGCACGTAGATCCTACCCTGGTTCATCCGCCGGATGTGCACGATCGTTGGCTCCGTGAGTGGGAAAACCGCCTCCCCGTCCACCTGAACCCAGAGCTTCGGCGGCATGCTTTCCTTGCTCCCCGATGGATCATCGTTAGCCCTTGTGGGCGAGAGCACATCACTTGGCAGGTCGCTCTGAGGTGTCTGATAGGGGTAGCGAAGGTCATCCGGGGAGCACCGGACGAAGGCGAAGGCCTCGCCAGACTGGATAATCTTCGTGGCGCCGGTAATGCCAACGCTGAGGGAGCCATAGTCGAGCACACCGCCCATCGCCTGCACCTCGAACTTTCCGTCGTTGACGCTCACCGGCATCACGGGGGGCGTCGTCGTCGGGGCGGCGCCCCTTACGTTCCCTTTTTGCAGCTCAGCCGGGCGGTAGTAAAGACCCCCTCTGGACGACCATGGCCGCGTTCCGCCGGAGTAGCAGTCGACGTTGCTGAACAACAGCGCCTTGGCGTGTTTGGGGAGCCGCAGGGCGACCATCTCGGGCCTCCCGGCGGGGGCAAAGGGGTCGGGAACGCACACGGCGGGCACCAGCCGTCGAAGCCGCTTGCACTTCGTCCCCGCTTTAAGGCCCATCGCGCAGTACACCATCTTATTCCGCGTCCGCGTGCTGCAGAACCACGGATGCTGCCGACGAAAGCGATCAAACTGGTACGTGACGTAGGAATCGTAGCCGACACTGACGTAATTGGTGACATTCCGCGACTTGTATCGGGCATCCTCGCGAACACGTTCCCAATCAATGTGATGGACTAGATTGGCCGCATTGTGCTCCGGTCGAGAGTCGACCAGACTTGAAGTGGGCGAAAGGGCGCATCCGTTGACTGACATTTCCTTCATCTCCTCATGAGCGTTTTCGGCGTGGGTTGCTGCCGTCTCGTTCATGGCCGTCATGCGTACAAAAACTCTTTCGTCGTTGGCCTGCACCGGCGAAAGGGAATGCGGGGTTCGTTTGAGGTAGCGTTGAGCCACCTCAAGGGGAACAAACTCTGCCAACCAACGGTCGAATGCGATGCACTCGGAACTCGTCGCCTCTTGCAAGAGTTTGATCACGGTCGAATCGCAGCCGTAGCAGCAAAGCGAAACATCATTTATCTTGAGACCACTCCCAAAGCCAAGGCAATTGCTGAAGTCATTGCCGGTGCCCATTGGAATTACCGCAATAGCGGGCAACGTAAAGAGTTCCCTCGCGAGGGAATGGCATGACATCTCACAGGATACCTTATCACGATTAGGTGTTTGTTTTTGAATGCCCGTTGCGTGATGAGTGTTCATAGTGCACTCCTCGTGATCACAAGTTGTGAGTGAGTCCACTTCCCACTGCTCGGACGATGATGCCCTCATCTCGAGTCCGAACTCCTTCTCTAATTCTTCTCCCACGAGCTGGACTTGATCCATGATAAAAGAGATCGTCCCGTCACCCCCAGAGATGACAATCGTTCCCCTGTACGACGATGACTTTTCATCGTCTTCGTATGTTTGGGATACATTTCCCACCAAGGTACGTTCCCGTACGTTGATTTTTTCAGGATGATAAACAACACTCTGCTCTTTGATCCGCTGACGCAGCGAACGAGGGTTTGCGAACATGTCCTTTGACAACAACACGACGTATTCTACGCCGAGCTCCGTGATCAAGGATCTGTGCACGATCGAAGACGTATTCTTCTCACCAGACTCGCCGTTGATAAAGGCAAGGACATGCTTTAAGGGGGATGGAAACGGTGGGTCGGTCTTCATGTACTGAAGCATGCGTTCTATCAGTGCAGCAGCGTTGGGAGTTTTCCCAATCTTTGCCATGTCATCTTTTTTACGCCAGTCTCTTGCTGGATTGTAGTGGAAATGACTATCGGAGTTGCTTTCTGCCTCCAAATTGAGGTCTTCTTGAATTTCCGGGCCCCATGAATTACTCTGAGGAATTCCATGACGCATGGGATTGGCAAGACTTTCTAAAGGTAAATCTTGATCTTTATAAATCAACCCATTATGGTCAGAGAGTATAGGATTAGACATCGTTTTTTTCGCTGTCACTAGATAGCACTTAGAGGAAAGGAGTTGTCTAAGATTAAAAGATATACGTGCCAATGGTTCCACAACAGCTAAATTAAGCTTATACGCACACTTGAGAAAATTAAACTGTGACGTTTTGACTTACCAAAAATTAGATGTTGTTTAATAGTTTCTTCCTCGAAATCACTTAGAGGGTAGATATATATATATAAATATATCTATATGTGGATAAACAGAGAAGTCTTCACCATGGACAATTGTCACGCTATCCGAGAGAGAGAGAGACAGAGAGAGAGGGAGGGAGAGGTGGAGGAGGACGGGAGACAGAAAAGGATTTAATAATAAGCTGATTAGTAATCTAAATGCTCGAAGGTCAGCTAATCAAGAAAGCAGTTCCACTATGCACAAATGTTTACGTTTTTTTACCATTTTTGTCTTTCTTCTAAGATTCCAGTGCCACAAAGCTTATCCCGGTCCCCATTTTTCGGTGACAGATTGCATTGTGCGTTATTCCATATCATACATGATAAATCGAAATCGCTACGTGGCCTTCTCTACACCTCGATTCTAGGATCAATGGGAAGAGAGGATGATAAAGGTGCTCCAGGCTTGCCCACCATGGTCGCCGCCCCGCACGGCGCCGTGTGTGATCCCTACCGAGAGATCCAAGTGCGCCCCATCCAACGCCTCCTCAAGCCAATCCAAACGCCGCACCACAACCCAGGACCGGATGGCCTGCTGCTGCACCCCCCGGCAGCTGCGAACCACGTGGGAGGTGACCGCGTGTTTCAGCGCACCGCCGCCCGCCTTGGATGTCAACCACAGCCTTTGGCCGAGCTGTGAGGCACACCGCGCGAAGCCAAGGCAGCCCCCTGCTGCATCTCCACGGCCCTCCCCACTCGTAAGACTCCCATGAGGCCGACTGGCGAGTGGGGGGGGTGGGGGAGTGGGGGAAGGGGCCTGCACGGCCGACCCCGCCGTTGTCCACCCGCTAGTGAGGTACCCCCACGCAGGGGCGGCCCATCCGAAGATCCATCCCCCCCCCGCCACCGGCGCCACTTCGGGCGAAGGGCTCGACAACAGGGCCGCCGCCGCCCCCTCCTGTGGGAGGTCCCATCTCAGGCGCTCCTCCCGATGCCGCGCGATCCACCCGGCGAAGAACTCGTGGGTGAGGTCGTCCACCTGGAAGCCGAGGGAGGTGGCGGCGCCCGTCGTGGAGGCCCGCATCGCCGTTCGTGGAAACTTCCCTGGGAAGGGGCGGTAGCGGCCGCCGACGTCGAGGGTGGTGTTGTGCAGCGTGATGAGGTTCAGCCGCACCCGCATGGAGAGGTCGAGCGGCCCCAGACAGGAGCTCGCCGAGCAGGAGAGCCGGCGCAGCATGTCGATGTGACTGGAAAAGCTCAGACCCCGCCCGAGGTAGGCAGCCCACCCCCAGTAGAGGTTAAACCCGCTCCGAAGGTCGTGCTTGAGGGAGGCGCCCACCCCCACGTCGAGACGGCGAAGGGACCACCAGTAAGGCGAATTTGTTCCCGGAAGGGGTTCCACCGGTGGGGGCCTGGTCGCCCCTGCGGCGAGGGCGCGGAAAGGCCGCTGATACAACGTCAAAAAACCGCACCAGTTGAGGGACAACTCGTCGGACTGCAGCGATGACGAGAGCCATGGGGTTTGCACGGAGTAATCGAACAGCGGGACATAGGTGTGCTGGCTGATGGGAAGGAGGCGCACGTTCAGCACCCCACGCCATTGCCACTGGGTGAGCTCCCACATCAGCTGCAGCACGTTCATCGTGCGTAGCGAATTCGTCCGCTCTATGGTGCCAATATCCACGAGGGAGTTGTCTACGGTGTCACCCGGGTGTTTTGCACTCCCCACACCCTGCTGTTCTTCCTTCGCATGTGCCAGCAGCTCCGTGAGGAGTCCCCGGTGATCCATCTCCTTTCCCGTTTTATGATCCCACCGCTCCAGGACTCCTTTGTGAAGCTTCCATTGCTCAGACCAGTTGTACCCGATCGCAGCGTAGAGCCCACCGGATAAAGAAAGAGGTCCGCGTTGATAAACCAACGAGTAGCCATGCGATACCCACGCCAAATCCGTGCTATGGTGTCGCGGGGCCACGGACGCGCGCCCTCCCTTCGCGACGGATCGAAGGGCCTTTCGCAGCAGCGTCTCCGCGGCCTGGAGGGGCACCCCTTGCCCCACCTCCGGGCTGCTCTTGAGCTTGCCGCCCACCCCTTCCTCCACGCCGTCGCTGCTCCCGGGTTTTGAGGAGCACAGCGAGGTGTCGAGCGCGGAGGGCTCGTAGGCGGACCCCCGCTGCCCCACCATTGGGGAGACGGGTCTGCTCGTCCGCAGGGAAGTGGGGGGGACGGCCACGGCCCCAACCGCCCCCCCCCTTTCCAAAGGGGTCCCTCCACACGAGAAATTCCCCCCTCCCCCCCTTTCCGGCCCGTCTCCTAAGGCCACAGGGGGGGTGGGGTGGGCGACCTCGCGAAGGGCGCTGGGGTTCATCGGCCGGCCTCGCCGGGGGGGGGGCGGCCTTCTCGAGATCCCCCCGGGGGATCCCCCACGGCTCGCGGCGATGACAGGAGATCAACGCGGGCGGCACCATGGAGGACGCGGCGAGGGCCGTTGGGGGGGTCGCCAGTACGACGCGCAGCATGCGGCGTGCGGGGGCCCAGTCCATGAGGGTGGAGGGGGTGGGCGAGAGCTGATAGTCAAAACTCCGATGCAGGTGAATATCGTACGCCATTGTTTTTTTTTTGATGGGAGAGGGGGGGATAGACTCGTGTCCTATGGAAATGATTTTGCTATCCCCTTTTTGCGGAACTCTCTCTGTGCAATTTGGGTTGCCAAGTGCCGATTCCGACTACTCAAAAGGAGGTAGAAAACACGACGACGGATTTCCCCCCCTAAAGAATCGTATGACTCCTTGCTTGAGATTCTCCCGCGGCAATATATGTGATGATCTGCCCTAGCTCTCTTGCCCCGCCTCTTTGTGCTCCCTTCCCGTGTATGAAGCTGCACTTTGCCAGCTGAAGAGAAAAATAAACTTGCAAAAATCAAACCAAATTCAAAGGACCATGGGACGCAGCCAGAATGAGATGAATGAGTGGAAACGATGAGTCGGTTAACCTTATATACAATCACATGCATTTCCATGATTTGTCATGACTTATTGAGCCCCTCCGAACATATTAGCAGCAAAATAATGTGAATAAATAGTACAATGAGATTTTCTCTTCCTCTCTCTCCCATATACAATGTAACAGTATATGCACTTTTCTCTTGATCTAGGGATCAGAAATTGCACTTTCTCTGGGCCTTGATCCTTCTACCCTTGCCACCCTTCTAGGCACTGAAAAGGGAAAGGGAGCAAAACAACAAGAGCCAATGGCATGCATTTTCCGCCAGATGACGTTCATCTCCAAGCGCTCAGGCTGCGCAAACCCTCTTTTGAGCCGAACGAATTATCACCGTAAACTCTTTAGTTATACCCACATTAAACCCATAGCAGATATCTTACAACCCAGTGACGTTTGTGATGTCCAGCCGTGATATACCAGGTAACAGGACCGTGAAAAGCCCTTCGACTGAAATACCACAAACGATGAAACCCTGTGGCGACCACAATATAAGGCCGTTTTCAAACGTCCAGTGGAATGCTATCAGACCTTGCCATTATTAGTACCATTGCGGAAAGGATTTCTACACGGAAGCACAATAATAAGTGGCAGTAGATATATTGGCTACAGATTAGCCAAAACACACCCGCACTCGCAAAAGGTTTCAGAAAGAGGACCGCGGAAGAAGATATTCAGAGTGTGATAAGGAGGGTGAAACATAGGAAATAGCGGTGCTCGTTGATCAGCGCCGTCAGATTATACACACACACACACATATATATATATATATATATATATATGTATATATATATATTTATACTTAGTAAATTAATCGTTTAAAAGTGTTTATTAGACGCTCAACACTTTAGCCTGAGCATACATAATAGTGTTAGTTTTTTTTTTAAATGTATGATGTGATAGTTCATGCAGCCTATGATGCCATATTTATTCACCTATTAATTTGTTTCTCACACCAAGGACTGGACAACGGCAATAAAAAGTGAAGATACAACGATGAATGCTAAGCCGGTGCATTTTAATATTGATGCAAACCTGCCTTCAATAATGAACCGTGCACTTCGCGTCAACTCGGTGCCGCCACCATATCGCACCATGGATGTCAAACAAATTCGATAAGGAAAATAAATGGCAAAGCAAGTCAACGCCTTCCCCAATTGAGACAGACCAGATAGTTTTCAACCGACCCCTTTTACGCCTTTCCCACCCTACGCGAAGTTCTTTTCGATGACGTCTTTCAAGACGCGTGTATCCTGGCTCACCTGCACGCACGCGGTACCCACTTTAGGCCGTTCCCCGACCATCACGGCGGCACTGATGGATTGGAGATCATCGCCGACGCCGCGCGTGAGGGCCGTGTGCAGGAACTTCTTTGATGCCGCACACGTCATCTGGAAAAGCGGGCTCGCGCTGTGCGAGATCACCCCCATGCTGTTAAAATTCTCCCAAGTCCCGCAGTGCGTCGCCGTATCGGCGATCAGCGAGAGGTGGTGGTAGTCCACTGCGTAGCGCCGGAAGAGCTTATCCAGTTCATCGTAAAGCGCTTGGTAGGCGCTCTCCACCCCCAGGGCGATCCGCATATCCTGGATGTCGGTGGAACGGACCTTATGCAGCTGAATCCCTTTTACCCCCACGGTGAAGAGCGAGAGAAACGTCATGACCTGCCGCATCGTGGCGTTCTCGCCCTGGAAGACGAGCTCACCAGAGGTGGGGTCGTCCGCCTTGCGGGTGAAACTCACGGAGTCGAACTGCGGCAGCCACGAGGAGAGCCGCTGCTGCCGCAACACCCGCTCGAGGACGTCGGGCACCACCGCCACAACGCCGTTCGGGGCCCGCACGACGACGTTCACCAAAAAGAACTCCGGGGGAAGCTTCGCGAGGCCCTCCGCGGCGGCCGTCTGTGCGGAGATCGGCGCGATGCTCACGACGTACTTTTTGTTTCGGAACGCGGTGTGGATGGCGGGGAAGGTGTCGTAGCCGAGGGCGGTGCCGGCGTGCGGGGGGGAAGGGAAGGAGGGCTGGCGGCTCGACGGCAACCCTGCCGCCGCGAGGTCCATCCCTGCCACCTCGCCCTCTTCTTCTTCCTCTTCACCCCCACCGCGATCCTCGTCGTCAAGGGCGCTTCGGGTGAGGCTCCGGCTCGCGTGGTGGCGCCGCCCGCTCCGAGGCTTCCGATGTCCCCCCCCCTCCTCGTCGTTTTCCCCGGGCTCGTCGTCGTCGTCGTTTTCGCTGCTCCCGGCGCCGGCATCCGACGAGGCGTCGTCGTCCTCGCTATCTTCATCGTGCTTCCCCCGCCGCCCTTCCTCCTCCTCGGGCTGCTCTTTGAGGCCGTTTTCCTCGCCGTCGTCGCTCTCGTCGGGGGCGTCGTCATCGCCGGCGAGGTCGGCGGGATCCTGGACGGCGTCCTTCACCGGCCCCTCCGCCCTTGCCCGCTCCGCACGGCCCTCCAATTCATTCACCACCTGCCGCGCGAAGGCGCGAAGGGCGCCGGTGAAGCTGCTCAGATGCTCCGCCTCGCCCATCCGCTGCGCCCGCCGGCGCTCGCGGAGCTTCGCCTTCGAAAAGAGCAGCGCCACGGTGAGAAGACCGCCCTGGGGGCTGCGCTCGAGGTGGTAGCGGTAGCCCTTCTCCCCGCCTCCGCCGCCCTTCGCGCCCTCCTCGCGGTTCGCGAGGCAGTCGACGAGGCGCACCGCCGCAGCGGCCTCGAGGATCGCCCGCAGCGCCGCCTCCTCCCGGGTCCCGGCGCCTTCGACGGGCACCACAATCGCCGGTTTCTTCACCGACGCGTAGATGAGGAGTTCGCGAAGGCGCGGGATGCCCTCCGTCACGTGCGTCACCGTCGCGCCGGCGCTGTGAAAGGTGTTCAGCGTCATCTGCGTCGACGGCTCCCCGGCGGCCTGCGCGGCGAGCAGCCCGACGGGCTCCCCGGCCTCGCAATAGGCGCGCTGCCGGCGGTGGGCGGTGAGCTCGCGGAGCTCCTCCGCGTAGTACGCGATGTTTTCCCCTCGCTTCGCGCGGAGCTTCTCCGCCGTCTGGCCTTGCCGGCCCCACCGTGCGACCTGCGCGACCTTGCGGAAGAGCGGGAAGGTCGCCTTGGTTTCAAGGTAGGTCTCGAGGGAGCGGGTGAAATGGGGGGGGAGGGGATCCCGCGCGAGCGCCGCGCGACGCTGGCGGCGAAGTGCCTGCCGCACCGCCGCCGCATCCTCCCCTGCCCCTCGTTCCCTCTCATCGTCGTCGTCGCCTCCTCCCAAGAGTCGGGTTCGCTTCCCAAGTTCATTCCTGCATTCACCCGCGGCGGCATCGTCGTTCTCGTCGAGATCCCCGCAGTTGTACTTCCGACGGAGATCCTCAATGTTATCCTTGGCGACCCCCCAGGCCTGCAGGGTGCCCGTCTTCATCGGGTCCAACCCATCCCCGCCGTAGATGAATTGCACGACGCTGCCGTTCGCGTTGCGGACGGAGTGATCCCAGTGCACCACAAGGCTCTCCATGGCCTTAATCAGGCAGCGCTGGAGGTGGCCGGAGCGGGAGGTCTTCACCGCGGTATCAATCAGCCCGTCGCGGCCCGCCATGGCGTGGATGGTGTACTCCCCCGGGCGAATCCCGGAGACGAAGCGGCCCATCGCGTAGCCAAACGACCGCGCCCGCCGCTCTCCAATAAAAAAGCAGGGCAGCGTCTTGCCCGAGTTCATCCGCCGCACGCGACGGCCGTCAAAGAGCTGCTGGCCGAGCCCGAGCGCCATTTGAATCGCGTTCGTGTTGCTCCCCTTCGCCCCCGAGATCGTCATCATGAGGAGCTGGTTGACCGGGAAAGGGACGAGCATGCGTCCGGGCACGAACTCCTTCTGCAGCCGCGACGTCAGCGTCATGATCGCCGGCATCGCGACCGCCTCGTCGTCGGGCAGCCCCAGCGGGGCGTTGTCGAGCTCGCGGAGGAGCTCCGCGCGGCGATCCTCCTGTGTGAGGCGCATGTCGTCCATCCCCATGGAGAAGCCCTCGCGCTGCAGGCTCGCCGTGAGGGTGCGCCCGAGCGCGCCGAAGAGCTCCCCGACGAGGTGCGGCCCGTAGATGTCGTGGATGACGTGCGTCACGGAGAAGTTGGACGGGCCGAGCTGATTTTTGCACAACACCCCCGAGATGAGCTCGCTGTGGAGGAACACCACCCGGTCGTCGTCCATCGCCGCGCGGGGGACCGGGACGAGCTCGCCCGCGGCGTTCGTCCTCGTAAAGGCGCTTGGCTGGATGAGGGAGGTGCCGACGAGGCTGACGCCGGCGTTCACGCGCGCCGCCGGGCCCTCGCCGGCGGACTGCGACCGCACCACCCCCGTCACGTAGCGGACGAGCGCGGAGATGAGCTGCTTCCCCGTCCACAGCGGACGCGGTTTGAGCAGCGCGGGGATGGGAATGAGCGCCGTCAGCGTCGCCGACGTTTGACTGCCGCCACGGTAAAGCCCACCCCCGCCTCCTCCCTCCCCTCCCTGGGGGATTAACGCCCGCTGCGACCGCCCGCTGCGCTGCAAGTACGGCGCGAGGCCGCCGTAGAGGAGCTGCACAAAAGTCTCCCGCGTGAGCAGCTTATCGCGCAAGGTGAGGAGGACGCCCGCGACGATGTGATCCTGAATCAGCCCGCGGATTGGGCGGCCGGAGGTCGGCACGAGGTAGTTGAGGTTGGCGTCCATTAGGCACTCCAGCTCCGCCTTCGTCTCCAGGCTCTGCGGGACGTGGATGTTCATCTCGTCGCCGTCGAAGTCGGCGTTGTAGGACTTCCCGTTGACGTAGTGAAAGCGCAGCGTCTTAAGCCCAGAGAGCACCTTCGCCCGGTACCCCATCATCGACACCTTATGCAGCGTGGGCTGCCGGTTGAAAATGAGACGGTCGCCGTCGAGGATGTGGCGGTAGACGATGACGTGGGCGCTTTGCAGCATCGCGAAGTACTTCCGCGCGTGCTGCCGCCGCGACTGCTCGTTGACGTTGAGGTCGACGAAGCGGATCTCGTCGCCCGGGAGGTGGATCTCGAGGTGGGTGGCGCCGGGGTAGATGTGGGGGCCGTTGAGAACGCAGCGCTGCAGCAGCGCCGCCCGCGCGGGGGCGTGGAGGGGCACCC